AGAAAGAAAGAAAGAAAGAAAGAAAGAAAGAAAGAAAGAAAGAAAGAAAGAAAGAAAGAAAGAGAAAAAAAGAAAAAGAAAGCAAGAAAGCAAGAAAGAAAGAAAAAGAAATAAAGGTCGGTCTATACGTTGCTTTATATACAGAAACCATCTCAAAGTAGACCATAGACCTAAATGTATAACATAAAGCTATAACACTTCCAAAAAACATGGAACATTCTGTGACCTCGGTTTGAGCAAAGACTTATTCAACGACACCAGCACAATCCATAAAAGAGAATACTGGCAAATTGGGTGTCATCAAAATTTAAAACTTGTGTCCTTTGAAAAGTACTGCAGAGAAAATGAAACGCCAGGGCTCAGACTAAGAAAAAATATGTATAAATCAGGTATCTGATAAGGGATGTGTATTCAGAATGCAGAAAAGGAATCTTCATCAGAAAACAAACAACTCAATTCTAAACGATGGCCAAACATTTAAACGGACACTGGGACAGGGAGACAGATGATGGGCAAACGGGCAGATCAAAAGATGTTCAGTATCTGTAGGCGTTAGAAAAACGTAAGTTAAAAACTACGATCGGAAAGCACCACGTACTTTCCGGAATGGTGAAAATGAAACACACGGGCCGTGCCAGGGCCAGGAGGGGGTGGAGGGGCTGGAAGCCCCGCGCTCTGTCGGTGACACTGTCAAATGGTGCAGCCACCTTGGGAAACAGTTCAGCAGCTTCTTAGAAAGGGAAACAGGCACCCAGCCTCCAGTTCGGCTGCCCTGTTCCTAAGTACCCACCCGGGGGAAAGGAAAAGCCGACGCCCAATCAGAGCTGTACGCATAGGGGTTCGTGGCAGCTTGACTTGGCCAACGACGTCAACAACCCAACTGTCCGTCACCGGGAGAACGGGGACAGGGCTGCAATACAGCCACACAACGGAACACGCTGCAACAATACAAAGGAAGTACAGAGACACGCAACAAAGTATAATCCATCCCCAAATAATTACACAGGCAGAGAGAAGGTGGTCAATGAAGAGTACACACACTAGGAGGCCATTCAGACAAAGTGTTAGAAAATGCGAACTCTTCTCCGGCGGCAAGGGGCAGGCGACCGCAGACAGGTGGGGGGCGGGGGGCAGGAGTGAGTGTTTACGGGGGGAGGGTACGAGGAGCCCACGGGGTGAAGACTAAGTCAGCTGTCTTGATTGTGGTTAACGGGTTCCTGGGTACACATACGTCAGAACTTACCAAATCGTACACTTCAGTTCCCTGCTTATTACTTATTATAGTGTGACAAAGCTGGTTTTAAAAATCTACATTTTATTAGGACCCCAAGAATTCCTAGATCGCTATATTCCCAGAAAGACCTCAGACAGTGCCATATAAGAGCTGTGGGATTTTAACACTAAACCGTGTTGTACAGAATCTCTAAGAACAGTACTCTGACATTTCCGTCAGCTCACATAAAAGCTAATTAGTTCTTCTCAGACCGAGTTACAGAGAAAGCGTTTTCTTTACCAGAACAAAATCCCAGACCCTCCCCACACGGCCCCCTGTGCGATCTCTCGTTCAGAAACTTCTATTTTCCCCCGTCTTGTTTTTCCACATCATCTCAAGAGAATCTCAACACCGGAACCAAAACAGGGGGTTCCCGGTTTCAGGAACTCGAGACAGGTCACCGCCGTGCAGTCACGGCGACCAGGGAGCCGTTGTGGCACTCACCTGAGCGGGCCTGCCGCAGCTGACACCATGAATCTCCAAGTAGCTGAAGGTTAACTCGAGCTGCAATTGAAATAAAGACCCGTAATGAATGAGGGGTGCAAAACCTATAATTCAAGGTAAAAATGCTCCAATTAGAAAGTCCAAGAACAAAACAAGGCACTGGACATCGTGTGAAGGCAGGCTGGTTTCAGATCTCCATTTATGAATTAAGACATGACCTTGGGGCACCTGGGTGGCTCAATGAGCGAAGCGTCCGACTCTCGGTTTCAGCTCAGGTCATGATCTCACAGCTCATGGGATCAAGCCCCACGTCGGGCTCTGTGCTGACAGCGCAAAGCCTGCTTGGGATTCTTTCTCTCTCTTTTTCTATCCCCACCTTCCCTCACTCGTGGTCTTTCTCTCTCTCACTCTCTCAAAATAAATAAACTTAAAAAAAACAAACAAAAAAAGATATGACCTTGATTTATCCTAATTCAGAATAAGTAATGGTCACTTTACTGAAAGGCTGAAAGGAAGGTCCAAGTCTGACTTTAAATTTCATCCAGGGACAAAGTCAAGGGGAAGTTCTCACACTTGCACTCCAGCATTTCTTCACTGAGAAATGAACATATAAAGCGAGCCATCTACACATACACTTTTCTCCTAGTTCAAAATTTTGCTTCCCAAAGTCCCATCGAGATAAAGACGATGTTGGTTTTCTTTTCCTTCTAAACCCTTTCCCCTCTGGGTTATACTCCCTCTACCGTCTCTCATAGAAATTCATATTTTGAACGGACTTAGAAAAACACAGTATGTAGGAATTTTAAACCATGGTTCAATGAAACACACAGAGTTGAGTCAAAATCTACGTCTCTCTGTGTGCAGATAAACAATGATTTATTTCCTTCCCAAGTAACAGGTGACCCTTTCTCTCTTCTCCTGTAATCAGCATTTCTTTTTCCTTCAATATATCTCCAGTCCCACATTTTTCCTACTTTTCCTGGACAACAGGAAAAATCTCTCCCCCGGTTTTGCAGCCTTCCATCTGACTACAGCAGTCGCACAGCACCCGATGACAGGACTGCATTAGATCCGTTTGCTTGACCTCTTCCCCTTAAAACCAGAAATGCCAGGGGGGAAGCATCCACCCATAACCAAGCCCACAAGACCCTGAGTTCTGCCCCCTGGTGCCATACTGTACCTTATTGCATCTGGCAGGATGAACCTGAGAACACAGAACCCCTGAATCTCCCGTTAAATCTCTTGATGTACGGTGTTGAGGACCAGAGGTAGAAAAGGTATTCCTTCATTATTCACTCAGTCAACCAACAGACGTGAATGGAAGACCTGCTATGTGCCAGGATTGGAACTGGAAAGAGGAACGAGACATTTCTCTTGTCCTCCAAGAGTCAAATGTGGCATTGGAGGCACATTTTAAACATTCTATTCAGAGGGCACCTGGGTGGCTCAGTCAGTTGAGCATCCAAGTCAATTTCAGCTCAGGTCATGATCTCGCGGTTCGTGAGATCGAGCCCTGAGTTGGGCTCTGTGCTGACAGCATGGAGCCTGCTTAAGATTCTCTCTCCCTCTCTCTCTCTGTTGCACGTGTGCACCTACACTTCCCCTCCCTAAAATACCTACATACACACGTTCTATTCGAGTACAAGTCTTCTTACCTATAATTATCAGGATTGATACTTGGTTGGGTTTTGAAAAGTCATTTCAAGCAGGGAATGATTTTCTAAAAAGTACACACACCTACCTTCAGTTATTTCAAATTAAAACTTATAAACATCGTCTCATTTCCTAGCCTTCGATACAACGTTCAAGTTTCTTCTTGGGGTAAAGCTCACTGGCTGGTGCTATAATGGCATTTCCTCTGGGGGCCACACCCTTAAATGTAGGGTACCCAACGTCCACTTCAAGTCTCAGTCAGTTAAGCGTCCAACTTGGGCTCAGGTCATGAGCTCACGATTCATGGGTTCGAGCCCCACGTCGGGCTCTGTGCTGACAGTGCAGAGCCCGCTTCAGATTCTTTCTCCCTCTCTCTCTGCCCTCCCCGACTCACACTTTCTCTCCCTTCCAAAATAAAAGAGTAAATAATTTAAAAATAAATAAATTTAATTTAATTTAATTTAATTTAATTTAATTTAAAAATGGCGAGAGAACTTGAAGACACTGGCAAAGCAATTTGAAGGCATAAATTTGCTGAATTGTTATCTGCTCCCCATCACCCCAGCCTTTAACCATTGTCTAGTCCTTACCAAGACCCTAATTTTTTTTTTAATAATTCACCTTTATCAATACACAGATGCTCTCTCCTTTTGCAGCCTTTTTCATTACTATGTGAAATATCTTTAATTAAATAAACTTACTATGGTAACCCTAAGCAAGAATAGGTTTAGAAGCAAACCACCTCGGCTCGGTGGGAGCCTGGCACCCTGGTGTCTCCTCCAGCTGGAGGGAGCAGGTGTGAACAGGTGCGCTCTCTCACAAGCCAGCAGCCATAAAGTGCAACTGGCCTCGGTCGGCACCACCTGGGATGGCCCGGGCAGCTTTGATCAGCTCGGCCGAGTGACGTCAATTGAGATGTTCCCGCCGGCCCCAAAGGACTGTCACCAGGAGAAGCGACATGTCAGGGAGCCAGGAAAGCATGGAGATGGTTCAGCGAAGCCCGGAGGAATGACTTCAAGGGTGTCAAGCAAAGAAGGGGCAAAACGGGGACTCCCGGCCAAAGAAAAAGGATTTGCAAGGGCACGGGGGCACGCGAAGAGCGAGGACAAGGCGGAAACCACAAGGAGAGACTGTAGGGTCCCCAATCCGTATGTGAGCACAAGCTGCGTCCAGGATTCGGCAAGCGTCCCCCCAGCGACACCTAACAGTGAGGACGCCGTGTCTAGGACGTACTGGGAGACGCAACAAGGCTCAGATCACTGTCTCCAAGCTGGTCCTCACAGCCTAACAGTGCCTCACCTCGCCCACCCCACCCAGCCCACCCCGAACAGTGTGAGGAATGGCACCCAGCAGCGGGCGGGAGCAGCCAGGACGCGTGTGAGACAGAACCACCCAGGTGAGCCCCTGGGTAGACAGGAGGAAGGAGTTGGCATGGCCTATCAGCAGCCTCCACCACCCACCTCCCCCAGCCCCAGAGCAAGTCCCCTCCCACAGCCAATAAGCAAACTTACAAGTGATCACGTGACCACGCGACTGTCCTGTAGGACCGCCCCCCACTCCAAGGGCAGCAGCTCAAGCCACGCCCACACACCTTTCCCACCTGTTGCCTTCCCCCCCTGCTCCTCAAAGCCCTCTCCTAAACAGCCTGGCTCCCCAAAGCCCTCCCCCAAATACCCCGGCTCCCCAAAGCCCTCCTCCCCACACCCTGCTCCCCAAAGCCCTCCTCCAACTACCCCCAACTCCCCAAAGCACAGCCCCTATGCCCCGCTCCCCAAAGCACTCCACTCCACACCCCTGCTCCCCAAAGCCCTGCTCCAACCACCCCCACTCCCCAAAGCACTCCACTCCACACCCCTCTCCCCATAGCACTTCTCCTATCACCCCTGCTTCCCAAAGCACTCCCTCCCAAACCCCTATACCCCAAAACAGCCCCCACAGCCCTGCCCCCCAAAGCACTGTGCTCTTCCGTACCGCTCAACACTGACCAGGAGACCCCTTCATCTGCCTGGTTCACGTGGGGCAATCCTTCAACCCAGCTTCTCTGAGGGTCTGTCCCGGATCTGACAATGACCCAACTCCCATCCCCGAAAGCAGAGCTGGGGCTATCTCGGGTGACAGCAAAGTTTTATTTCTTCATTGAGGTACCTGCTTTGTGATTCATTTCTATTCTGTCCATTTGACTGCTTATGTGGTACATTTCACAGAAAGACAAAAGAAAACAAATGTCTGATCGGCCCCCAGAGAGAAGAGATCTATGTCATAACCAGTACCTATTATGCAGCACTGTTCTGAATGTAATTATTTCCTCAGAAAGTTAATGTCACTGACATAGGTTTTGCTTCTCAGCCCAGGCCACTTACTGGGGCACCAGAAACCAGCCTTATCTAAGGGGGAGTCCTGAACACACACCACTTTGGACGAAAAACTGCTTTTCTATATTTGTGATGCGGACAATATCAGACATCAGAACCAACGTCCGGACCACCGCGGTCCGGCCAACGTGAAGCACGAGGGACATCACAGGACGAACCAGACCTTCACTCGGGGCAGAGCAAGGATGGGGTAGTGTGGGATCAGCCGGCAAAAGAGAGTCAGGTGACCTCCCAGGAGGTAAGACACTTTTCTGCATCACAACGGTGAACGTTTTACTCAGGGGCCTCCTACTCAACAGGCTACTTGACTATTTCTCAAGCTCATCAAATTTCCTTCTGCAATTAATTTTTCACCAGTGGGATAACGGCTCATTCGCTTCCTTACGGCCTGGCCTGCCTTCAAGTGTCTTAACATATGGGTAACAGTCCAACACTGTGCACGTAACAATTGGTTTCATTTGTAACACATTATAAACATACAGACGCACTTCACGTTACCAAAAGGGGTGGGGACCAGTGGTCTCATTCCTCAGGGAAACTTCGTGAAATTTAGCGTCTGTGTAATCAGAAAGGAAAAGGGCGGGGGCGCCTGGGTGGCTCAGCCGGTTAAGCATCCGACTTCAGCTCAGGTCATGATCTCTCAGTTCACGAGCTCGAGCCCCATGTCGGGCTCTGTGCTGCCAGCTGGGAGCCTGGAGCCGGCTTCGGATTCTGTGTCTCCCTCTCTCTTTGCTCCTCCCCCACTCATGTTCGGTCTCTTTCTCTCTCTCAAAAGTAAATAAAGGGAGAGGGCAGCAGGTACCCGAAGGCCTGCACGGGCACACAGCGGGACGGTGTCTTGGCAAAACGAAACGGATCCTTTACAGAACAAAGTGGTGTCGCATTGCTTTGCAGGGGGCACCGGAGTGCACGCAGAAGGGCGGAGGCGGCGACGCTTCTGGGAACGCACTAGTGACGACGGGCACTTCCCACACGTCAAAGCCTAGGAGAATCTGCCATCACAGGACCGAAGGAAGTGAGAGCCGGACTTGAGGGCAGTGTAAACCAGGCCCCGGGAGAGAGAAAAACTGACCGGAAGCCACAAGCCTCAGGGCTGCGGAGCACAAAATGTGTTACCACTTTTCTCGGGATGCTTTCGCACAAGAGGAGGGGAAACAATGGAGTAGAAACTGTCATCGCAACGCTCAGGTGCTTTCTGGGGAGAAGGAAGGGAAATACGGGTATGCTAAGAACACTCTGGACACTGCCTAAGTTGTGTCCACTGAAGAGGGAGAGAGAGAGTGTGTGTGTGTGTGTGTGTGTGTGTGTGTGTGTGTGCGCGCGCGCTGGAGGAGATGCATCGCCACTTACCTTGGTGGGGATTCGTGCCGTCACGAGGAAGGCTCGGCAGGACGTAAGCACCTGCAGAATAGGAAGACAGCATCAGTATAAGTACCACCAAGTGGGACTGATGGGTTTGGGCTTTACCCACAGGACACAATGGCACAGGAGTCTCGAGAGGCCACAGGGCTGGGTTCCTGGCCTGTAAGAAGAATCGGTGAATCAGGACAGCCTCCTGGCCACGTAGAACTCGTTTTCCTCAAGAGTCACCGCGTGAAGGTCCAAACTGAACAAATCACTTGTGAAATCTCAACATGAGCAGTCCAATCAACAGCCCAAGGGACCAAGAGATTACTTCTGCTGAGTGAGCGCGACAGGTCTCTGGGATGTTAAGATACAGAGACCCTGCATACAGTCGTGAGCCCCGTCCCCCCCCCCCCCCCATATCAGCAGCAGACTGAATGAAGAAGCCTAGGGCTCTCTGACACCTTCCTCACCACCGCCACCCACATTTGCCCGCTTCCACTCCCTGTGCACGAGCGGAGAACATTCACACAGTGCACAGACAACATATCAGGGGATGCTTCCAAGGTGTCCCCAGCTGTGTTTCTCAGCTGGGCCTCCCCCCAGTCCTCGAGAGAACACTTATGGAGGTTTCGATTCCAATACTCCACTAAGAACATCTATGCAGTCCATAGGGCCCCACATGTTTCTAGGACCGCTCTTAGCCAGCAGAAGCCCTTGTGAATACAAAGAGGTTGGAAATGGTTTGAACTCATCCCCGGAGCAGGGATCCCAGTCCACAACCGCCAAGGTCGGAATATGGTGCCACTCTGCAGCTTGGAGGTCTGGGCAGGCCCCAGGGCCTTTGCACTGAAGAAAGGAGTCTCCAGTACTTAAGTTCTGATGGGAGGACTGGCTTCTTCATTTCTCAAAGAACTTCCTCATCGCTAAATTTATTATTTACAACACAGCCCACACATTTCTCTCTTCCAGGGGGTCTTGTAGGAGCAATCCCCGGTCTCTTCGAGAATCTTCGGCCCACAAAATTCTCTGCACAGGGCCAGATCACAGAGCTCACGTGCCAGAAAGGACTCAGCATCACCTGGTCAGTGACCTGAAACCCCGCTGCGTACCACCATCTCAGCTTCTAATCTGAGAGCAGGTTCCACAGAAACTCGTCTTTGCTGGGTTCGCGCCAGAGCTGGAGACGGAAGCTGGAGCTCCGGACCCCCAATCTAGAATCTTTTCAGACGAGCAAGAAGCTCAACGGCACAAGCCCCAGACAGCAACGTGCAGCCTTTTCAGTATTTCGATAAATGTATCAAGCTCTGTGAACGTTCCTTCCAACAGACGTTGGTCCCACAACACCCAGGATCACGTCAGAAGCACAGGAGCAACCACGGCCAATACTGCCGGGTACGCTGTTCTAACAGGCTTGTGGGCCCCATCTCCTTGAGTCCTCTCAGCACCCTAAGAGCTAGACTGGACACCGTTATCACCCCCATTTTAAGAAGAGGAGACTAAGACGCACAGAGATGATGGAACTCGCCCGGGTGACCCAGCAAGCGGGTGGCCAAGCTGAGACTTGAACCTAGCATGCTCTGGGTCCAGAGACCGGGCTGCTAATTCCTTACGCGGACTCTCGAAATTCCAGAACCCACTTCCAGGTGGTCCTCACCCATGCAAACACGGATGAGCCACAGAGCTTTAAAGCCGGAAGGAAGCAGAGAGGTAAAAGCGTCATCAACAGGATGAGGGATGTTGGAGGTGCTGAGGAAAAGAGCCAGTCCCTACTGGTCTGCCTGCCTGTCCGTGCGTCTGTCTTCTAGGTGCCTCCCTGATCCCATCTGTGCAGCTCTCAGTCTGTCTGCGTCCCTCCCCTCCCCTCACTCCTCACTCGGCCGTGGCTGCCACTGTCCCCAGCACACTCCCCTCCCCCCTTTCTCACCCTCTCTTCCTCCTCCAGCACCCGCCCCTGCCTCAACTCCGCCCTCACTTCCCGGGGCTTCCCAGATGCTAATCTGCTAATCTGTGAGCCCGCAATTTATTCATGCCTACTGCCCAACAGCAGACGCCAACCACAGAAGGAACACCGCATTCTGGAAGGATAGTTCATCTGTAACACAGTCACAGAGAAACTTGCACAGAACACGAATAAAGGTGACAAGGCACCCTTGACATGGTGAAACAAGGAACACATGGGTAATGACAAGGCCCCCTGTGGGGATCTACTTCAGAAGTCTCAGAGACTGGTCTCCCACAAGCATCCCAACCACTGATGTGAGCACGAGGTGCGGGCCGGCCTTCCGCCCTTCTGTAAGTGTTGTACTTTGGGGACTAAAGTCTCCCACAAGCAGCCAAGGCATCACATGACCTGCCTGCCCTCTCCTGACCAGCCCCTTCCTGATCAGTCAGCACAGGGCGCTTCTAGGGGCCACTGGGAGAGAATTAACTGGGTCACTACTTTGTAAGTTTATTTATTTATTTTGAGAGAGAGAGAGAAAGCACGCATGGGGAAGGGGCAGAGAGAGAGGGTCCCAAGCAGGCTCCACACTGTCAGTGCAGAGCCCAACATGGGGCTTGAACCCACAAACCATGAGATCATGACCTGAGCCGAAATCAAGAGTCGGATGCTCAACCGACTGAGCCACCCGGGTGCCCCGGGGTCAGTACATTTCTTTACAAGAGAGGGGAAAAAACTCAGAATGTTCATGTGCATCCACCTTTTGAATGACAAGCAATCAATCTCTTGGCCACAGGTAGACATACGAGGTTCTCACGATCACTTCTGCCTCCCCTCAGGCAACAACCCCGTTCGCGATCTGTGGTCCTGTGCGCCAACTCGCCTTCTTGAAAAATAGTTTCTGAGTACACAGTGTCCTCCGGAATTTGGACACAGCCCAAAAGAATTTGTTTGAAAAGAGACACATCCACGTGGGAGCCCAGGCTTTGAAGGAAGCAGCTTTGTGCCGGCTGGTCCCCATTTCTGGTGGTCACCTAGGGTCTCCGGAGGCATGAGGACCCGTCTTAGAAAGTTTGGGAGGGGAGGGGATGGAGTGGGTGAAATCCTCCAAAGCTGACCCAGCCTCTCCCGAGACTATGCCCACTTGTAAGCACAAGAGTGTAGCGGTCATTTGAAGCAAGAGTGAAAAACTACAAGCCACTGCTCCTCCCAGAATCGTGCCTCTTGCTCCGTTGGCGCAAACTGGGCCAGTAAATGGGGCTACGCTCATGCTGGAACCCCCAAAGAACTCGGTCTCCTAGCTTTCCTACTTGGCTCCAAGAGGGTCCTGGGGCGTGCGGCCTTGGAGGTCTTACGGGCACACATACGGCTGCTAGCAGCTGAGGGGCAATCACACAGGAAACCCCCCCTTCGATTTATCCTATAATAAGCACCACCTCGGTGTTGAGGTCACAAGCATCTTGGGTGACCAAATCTTCCCATTTGCCCAGGACATTTCTGGGCTTAAGCACAGACAATCCCAGGGTCCCAGAAACCCAGGACTCCTGCTCACCCCCCTTGCAGGGGTTTGGAATCAGGAAGGCAGATTTAAAGTCTGGCTACACCACTCACTAGCCGCCTAACCCTGACAGAGTCAGTCAACTGCCCGATGCCTCAGTTTCCCCCTCTGTAAAACAAGAAGAATAGTCCTCTGCGGGACAAATACTGTCGTTTTAAAGTAAGATACAAGTGTAGATAAAGCCCGAGCCCAGCACCGAGGAGGTCTCGGTCAAATACCAGCTCTTCTATCGTTATAGCGGGTGGGAACGCATCTTCAATTTAGGTGCCCAAATTAGGACGAAGCAGTCACACTTCCTGATTTTCAAATGATAGCTTCTGGCATCAGAAGGAGCCCACCAGGGTTCCGAGACACCGTCTAGGCTGAAATTTTCAGTTCAGTATATTTTCTTGCAAAAAAAAAAAAAAAAAAAAAAAAAAAAAGCGAGGGGGTGAGGGGATCCGAAGAAGCATTTGTGCTCCACCGAGGAACCTCAGTCACTAAGGGCAAGCTATTACCCCCGCCCCCCTCCTCCGGGAGGCCCATTCTTCCACAGAGGTCTTAGCATGCAAACCACATTTTCAACCTCCATAATGCATTTCCTCTCCCTTTCATTGAAATGCAGGCAGCAGCCTGGTTCCCTCTGAGGCTTCTGGGTTCAACTTTTAACTTCAACATTTCACTTGGAAACACTTATAAAACTCCTCCCCACCGCGGAGACTCACAGCTTAGCAGAGAAGCCTAAATTTTCTTACGGAAATGATATATAATGAGGTCGACTACAGAACCCTCTCGCTGCTTGCAATGCACGCTTATTAAAAACTGAAATAAATACCCGTTTCACCCTCTTTAATAACTCCATTTGCCTACAGCCTACCGTTGCACAGGCAATCCATAAACCCATCCCTCCTCAATCCACTCTCTCGTGCAGATTACCAAGAATGCCCGTCCTTTAAGATTGGGCTCCACATGGCATTCAAAAAATGGTCTCGTACCCCCCAGAGTACTCTCTAATTTGCAAGCAAATGAAATGATGAAGGCCATTTAATACATTTACCCTCTTCCAGGGGCTCCAAGTGAATCACAGACAAGACCTCATTCATCCAAGATACACACTTCAGGGAGAAAGAGGGGCAGGTGGCAAGGACCATCATCACCACTGTGGAGGTGCTGAGAGTCTTGTGAAAGATTGCCCAGAAAGTTGAGCTAGAATAAAAAGTCTCTCCCGGCCCTGAGCCTCTTAACGTCCACTGTGCACAGCCATGGGGCCCGTCACCCTCCCCGGCCAAAGCAAGAAGACGCTTCACCCAAAAGGAATACAAACAATACATCCTTTTCATGCAACTTCTGGCCCCAAATCCCTTATAAAACTGGATCGCCATACTTTCCAGTATCTGTCTCTCTCTGTCATTAGTAGATGTTCCCTGACAAGGCAGTAGAGTCTAGTGTGGGATCTGAAAACTACAGCCTGTGGGCCAAATCCAGCACCCTACCCATTTTTATGAATAAAGCTTTATTGGGACACAGCCACACCGTTTGTTTAACGTATTGTCTCTGGCTGCTTTCACGCTACAAAGG